AGAAGCAGCCCTGAGCCCCCCATCCGCACCCTGGGAACCTTCCCGAACCCAGCCTGCGACAGCCCTGGGGGCCGCCCGGTTCCTCTGCCCCAGGCTCCCCCCGTTGGCTTTGGAAAACCCATTTTTCTCCCCTTCCCCTGCCCCGGGCCAACACGGAGGAGCGAAGCGGGGGCTCTGCGCCCCTCTGGCCCCCGTCTCCTCCCCCAGCCTGGTCCCAGCACCCTGCCCCGGAGCTAGGCGCCCCCCAAGCCGAGGGATCCTGGAAGCGCTATGGGGGTGCCCGCAGAGCCGGGGCCCTGTAGGACGCGCCACGCTCAGCCGGCTGCAGCCCTGCCGCGAGGCCGGGTACCTGGTGCGGACCAGCGAGACGGGCAGCGGGAAATACTCCATCGCCCTCAAGTGAGTGGCTCCGCCTTGGGGGCAGGGCACCAGGGCGGCCCCACTGAGGCTGGACTGAGCCGGGGGGTTCGCCCTGAGTGTGGATCTGCTACGGGCTAAAATGGGGGGGGGCACCCCGGGGAGGGCGTGGCCTGGGGCATGGTGGGCAGCTTGCTCTAGCTAGACCCCACTTCCTCTCCAGGGAGAGAACCCAGGAGTGCTGGCTCTGTCCCCCCGCTCTAACCACTTGGCCCCACTGCCCTCCTAGAGCCAGGGACAGAACCCAGGATCCTGGCTCCCAGCCCCCTGCTCTAACCACTTGGCCCCACTTCCCCTCTAGAGCCAGGGACAGAATCCAGGATCCTGGCTCCCAGCCCCCTGCTCTAACCACCGGGCCCCACTGCCCTCCTAGAGCCAGGGACAGAACCCAGGCTCCCGGAGAGGCTCTGTGGGGAGCACAGGCCGGCGGGGCTGCCTGGCAGAACCCCCTTTCCTGGGCAGCAGGCATCTGCGGGAAGCAGCCCAGCCCCGGGGCACTGGCTGGCCCCAGGCATGGCGGTGCCCAGCCCCCGGCTCGCTGGCGCAGGGTCATGTTTCCTTCCTGAGGAAGCGGAGCCCCTGGCGCCGAAACAATCGGAGCCGGGAAGGGAACAAACGGGCTGGGCCGGGGACAAGGCGGCCGCGGGGCCCGGCCCAGGGACGCAGGACAAGGAGCCGCTGGGGGCGGGCGCCAACGACAGCCCAAAGGGCAGCAGAGACGCCGGCCCTGGCATCGGGTGCGCGGAGCCCAGGGCAGAAGCCCCCTCTGCACCCAGCTGCTGTCCCAGAGAGGTCTCCCCGCGGGGCCAGACACGGGGCGGGGCCTGGGAGCCAGGACTGCTGGGTTCTAGTCCTGGGTCAGCCTCCTGTGCCTCTCAGGAAGGGAGGGAAGGAGCCAGGGCAGGACTGGGGGCCCAGGGCTGATCCCCCCCTCCCTCCCGTTTTGCTGCAGGACCAGCCACGGATGCGTCCACATCCTCGTGGCCCAGACGAAGGACAACAAGTACACGCTGAGCCAGGCCAGCGGCGTCTTCGGCAGCGTGCCGGAGGTGGTGCACTACTACTCGTGCGAGAAGCTGCCCTTCAAGGGGGCGGAGCACATGAGCTTGGGGCACCCCGTGCACAGCAAGCCGCACTAGCGCTGGGGCACGGGCCGTGCGCACAGAGCCGGGGGCAGCGCGGTGCTCTGGAGCCGGCCTTGCCC